TTTTCCCTAGAGAAATGTATTAATTTATGAATGCTTGTGGTTTAAAATTATTTCACTCGTTTCGTTAATTGAAGTTGAGTTATATATCAAGTTGTGGTGGATATTACATATGGCGTCGTAGCAAGACTGATTTGCACTCCAAGAATTTATTTCGATAGAAGCGACTAGGCTCTGTGGATGCACCTTTCTGACGCCATTTTGGGGAATTAAAATTGTCTCTTTTCCCCAGAGAAATTTATTAATTTATGAATGCTTGTGGTTTCAAATTATTTCACTCGTTTCGTTAATTGATGTTGAGTTATATATCAAGTTGTGGTGGATATTACATATGGCGTCGTAGCAAGACTGATTTGCACTCCAAGAATTTATTTCGATAGAAGCGACTAGGCTCTGTGGATGCACTTTTCTGACGCCATTTTGGGGAATTAAAATTGTCTCTTTTCCCGAGAGAAATTTATTAATTTATGAATGCTTGTGGTTTAAAATTATTTCACTCGTTTCGTTAATTGATGTTGAGTTATATATCAAGTTGTGGTGGATATTACATATGGCGTCGTAGCAAGACTGATTTGCACTCCAAGAATTTATTTCGATAGAAGCGACTAGGCTCTGTGGATGCACTTTTCTGACGCCATTTTGGGGAATTAAAATTGTCTCTTTTCCCCATAGAAATTTATTAATTTATAAATGCTTGTGGCTTAAAATTATTTCTTATTTCGTTAATTGAAGTCGAGTTATCGTACGTAAGTTGTGGTGGATATTACAGATGGCGTCGTAGCAGACCGATTTGAGGTTAGTTTGAAATACGATCCCATTTTAGCGCGAAAAAACACTGCAACCGCGCAGAAATTAGGCCTGAGAATTTTATTTAGAGCTCGTAGCATATTTTTGACAACAACATTGCTTAACTCGAGCTCTTATAATACTTCAAAACATGAAGTGTTTAAATAATACTTATTGTTGCACTATGAAATTTAAGGTTAAAGTTTCTTGGAATTTTTCATTTAACTCCTGATAGTTATAAAAGTATTCGATAATATTTAATAATATAATACAAAATTATATAATAATAAAAACCGAATTTCTGTCAACATTCTAAACACGTTCATGATTGATTTATTAAGTCTTTTTTACAATTTTCAAACGTTATATAGAGTCAAATGAAAATTATTACAGACATTAGGAAATCTAAATAATTCAGAGCCAAAAATTAACAAAAATTTTCTAAACACATATAAAGGGTGTTCATCCTAATGGTCGCCACGATAATTGGGGTATTCATGCCAATCTGACAAAAAAATGTATCGAATAAAAGTTATTCAATATTATGATGGGAATAAATTGTAATAACAAACATTTTAAATAAGTTTTTTGTTCAATAAATTGTATTTAAATAGCACTATGCATTTTTGACTTTATGTTGTTATGGCTGATGAAAAAAACGAATTCAGCGGCCTTTGGATGACCTCTAGCTCTGAAATTCACAGTAATTAAAAAAATAACTGAATGTAAACAATAAACACACAACTTAATGTTTCTAGGAAATGGACATGATTCATGGACGTTCATGATTGATTTATTAAGTCAAACAACTCAAACAATTTTCAAACTTTATATAGAGTCAAATGAAAATTATTACAGACATCAGGAAATCCTCTAAAAAATTCAGAGCCAAAAATTAACAAAAATTTTCTAAACACATATAAAGGGTGTTCATCTTAAGGCATTTATGTCAAACTGACAAAAAAATGTTTCCAATAAAAGTTATTCAATATTACGATGGGAATAAAATGTATTAATAAAAATTTTGAAAAAATTCTTTGTTCAATAAAAAACCGAGAGCACCTTGATTTTGTTTAAATAGCCCTATGCATTATTGACTTTATGTTGTTATGGTTGATGAAAAATTCAGCGACCTTTGGATGACCTTTAGCTCAGAAATTCACAGTAATTAAAAAAATAACTGACACTTTCCAACTGAATGTAAACAATAATGCGATCTTTTATTTACAGTACATATTAATTTATTATAATTAGACCGCGGATGTTTACGTAAATACATACGTTTCTAGAAAATGGACATTTTTTTACCACATTGGCGTAAATACCTCAAAACTCGCGACGACCGTTAAGATGAACACCCTATATAGTAAAGTAGCTTTTGTCAGTTTCCCCTAACACGGTTCAAAATATCCGCCAGTAGAGAATAAATTATTAAACGAAAGAACCGAATTGCTTTATAACCTGCGCCAAAGGGGAACCGATCTAAGCTGTTTCAGAAAAAGTTTGCATTCGTGATTATTAAACAAACAAATAGCAGGGTTGCTCCTAGGCATCGGCGTGCAGAAATTTCCCAAGGTACCGGCGGTAATTCGAAATTAAGTTACGCGGTTCGTTTTCCACGCATAACGAGCGGATCTCGTACCCGCGGAATTTTTTCGGCGGGCCAACTTTTTCGACAGATGGTGCGTCGAATTGTTCGAAAAGTTGAAAGTCTGGAAATTCAAACGGCCCCCGGTAATTGCTTTAATTTTATGCGCATACATTACGGTTTTATCTTTACGTAAAACCCGCGCAGCTGGCGGGGGCCACGAGATAAACACGTTCTTTAATAATATTCTAACGTTAAACTAGTGTTTCTTTATCGCGGTACGTGTCGCAGAACTTGGAAGGTACGAAACGTCGAAGGTACCTGGAACTGACGATAATAACGATAACGTGAGTAGCGTCGACTGGCTATCAAGATGGTAACCATATGTTTCTTGGTTGACGCGTTCGTCGTTCTTTTCATTGTCGGTTGTAATCCGCCAATGACGGTTAAATATGTTTTACCGGGACTGGTACCGACTTGATTGTGCGACGCAAACGTTGAGTCATCGCGACTGGAAATCTAGTAATTATCTCACCTATATGCACATACATTTCTTCCCTTGGACGTATACGGCCTACCTCCAAATACTGACGTGTCCACGAGATACGAGCTCGAACTGCGTAATTGGTTCGCGGAAAAAATGAAACAATGTACTGCCACGGTGGTTTTTCATATTTTTTTTTTTGCCACACACCTTTTTTAGAGTCTAATGAAACTGGTGCATGCTTTCATCAAAATGAAGTTTCGAAATATTAATGAAATAAATGTACCGAGAAAAGGTCATGAACGGAATGATGACTGGCCCCTTTTGGTGTATGTGAAATATTACGTGTAAATACCTGTTCCACAGTGAAATTGTATTCTATATGAATGGTGATGTGATTTATAGTACTTTTAGATGTTTCGAAGTTTTCAAAAGAAATTGATGGAAAATTTTTTGAATTTCACCTATATTTTGGTAGAACAGTTTTATTACACTCTAACAGCTATCGTTTTAACCCTTTAACGCACAAACTCGTATGTGACACGATTGAAAGTGTCCTGTTTTCGCTTCCACGCAACTCGAGTGCTCTGTTATACGATATTTGAAGAAAGTTGATCCTTTTCTTATGTTCTAGTAAATTTCACTTTGCACGAAACTGTCAGCGACTCGAGAAAAGAGTCTCTGTGCTGAATGTGTTATTTAAATAGGAGAGACGATAAAGGAAAACGACAACAAAACCCAAAATCTCCAAAAATATAGACGTGGTCAACTTGGATATGAAATTTACATTTTTAAGCTTTTATAATTGCTTAAAATTCCGTTTAACATCCATCATTCAGAAGAAATTTTCAAAAAAGAGTGTTCATAATTTTTTTTATAATTTTCTATTCTATACCACGAAAGAAATAATGCTTAAACTTTGAATTATGTTTTGTCTTGTTACGACGAATCGAACGATCTGTAATAACCACAAGAAAACCCAAAATCTGCAAAAATATAGACGTGGCCAACATCGATATGAAATTGTCATTTTTAAGCTTTTATAATTGTTTAAAATTCCGTTTAACATCCATCATACAGAAGAAATTTTCAAAAAAGAGTGTTCATAATTTTTTTTATAATTTTTTATTCTATACCACGAAAGAAATAATGCTTAAACTTTGAATTATGTTTTGTCTTGTAACTACCCTAATAGTAGGAGCAGCGAGTTAACAATCGACAGAAAAAGTCTTCTATGAAGAGCCTATCCATTAATAATTTCAAAGTTGAATTTGATTGCTATAAAAAATAATGCTTAAACTTTAAATTATGTTTTGTTTAGTAACTACCCTAATAGTAGGAGCAGCGAGCTAACAATCGACAGAATATGTTTTCTATGGAGAGCCTATCCATTAATACTTTCAAAGTTGAATTTGATTGCTATAAAAAATCAAACAAATTTTGTAGCATCGATAGAACATATGGAACGGCCTAATACTACAGGTATGAATATTAAATAAAGCATAAACATGTAATTGCAATGCTATATTGGTCAAATTTCATTGCTACCCTTTCCCATCATCTGTCCACTTGCTTTTGTCCCTGACTCCATAAACAAACCTTGTAAATTTTACTGCAAAAGGTATTATAATTTCCCGAAGAAAGTGAAAAAAGGACGCAGTTTAGAGTAGAATACCCCCTTAAGAACTGGTTCAAGGTATAGCAGCGGCGAAATCAATTTCGACAGTCGAAAGGCAAAGCCGTCACCCAGTGACCCCGCCGTGTCTGCCGGAGCCAGGCACAGTTTATAGATTGCCTGGCGTGCTGCTCTGCGCGGTTGCTATAGTCGTGGGGAACGATTTTCCACCTGTCCGCCACCTTTCGTCCGCCCGGGGGAATCTCGAGGGTTGTATCAACGGAGTCGAGACCACGGTTGGCCAGACGGCGGAGGTGCTCCTGCGTCCACTCGGCTATCGTTGGAAAAATGGGACGGCCCTCGTCGCTCTCGAGGATACCTGAAAACACTCGAGGAAAATCCCACTCGGGCGCCGGTTGATAACCGGTGGACAGTATCAGCACGCGGGAGGAGAGTAGTCGAGAGTCGTGGAAACCGAGAGAGGGAAGACGGCTCGAGGACGCGGAAAGTGGCCAAAGGGGGATGTCTGAATGGGTGGCGCCTGCTCCTGTCGAGGTCGCGATAGCCAGGTCAACGCTGGCTCGATCCTTGACCGTGTGATCAGCCAAGCGAGCGACGAGGACCAATGTCTGCTGTACCGGCTGGCCAATTACAAGAAGGGCGGCGAGCTGATAGAGTCGTACAATCTGGGTGGCCAGGCGGAAGTCGAAAAGTTGATCAGAGAACAGTTCGGCATCCTGATGTACGCCGACGGCAAGGGCCAGGCGATCAACCGTGCCGAGTACCTGCGTTGGAAATTCCGGGATCTTGAGCAGGTTGTGCTCCCTATAGAGGCTTCCTTGTCACGGTTCGACCCTTTGGCTCAATGGAACGATCACGAGGCATGTTGGCAGATGCAATATAGAGGTTCGCTCGGAGAGACTCTCCTACATGTTCTGATTATATGCGATACCAGGGTGCACACACGAGTAGCGCGTATCCTGCTCAAGTGCTTTCCACGATTGGCTATTGATGTTGTCGAGGGCGAGGAATACCTTGGTGCCAGTGCTCTCCACCTAGCGATCGCGTACAACAATAACGAACTCGTGCAAGACCTAGTCGAGGCGGGCGCGATCATTTCTCAGCGTGCCATCGGCAGTTTTTTCCTACCGCGGGACCAGCAGAGAATGAACCCGGCCAGGAACACGGACTACGAAGGATTGGCCTATTTGGGGGAGTATCCGCTCGCTTGGGCCGCGTGCTGCGCCAACGAGAGCGTTTATAACTTATTGCTCGACTCGGGCGCCGATCCGGACGAGCAGGACTCTTTCGGGAACATGATCCTACACATGGTGGTGGTTTGCGACAAATTGGTACGTATTTGCAATTCTTTCTCAAAGAGGACTCGCGTCAGGGTACTGTGCGTCCGCGAGAAGTTGGCTAGTGGGACAGAACAAACTACAAGGGAGTACTGCGCTTGTTGCGCCATCTAGCCGTGAGATAGAGTGGGGATCCAGCCACCAATCAGACCCACGTTCCTTTCACTAGCCAACTTCTCGCGGACGCACAGTAGAACCTCGTTTTTCTGAACGAAATACTACTGAACCTCAGATATACATACTCATAACTGAACCTTTATTATTCGAATGGCGGTCGAGTGAATTCTCATACATTTTTTTATACATTTTTGCTAAACTCTGACTTATACTGTCATTTTAACTCATTGCAGAGATCGCCAATTTACTTATAGTTAATGCATCTTCTTCAAATACGTATATTTGTTAATACACGGGTATCTAGTATCTAATTCCTTGGTGGAATTTAGAGTAATGATTCATAAGCTTAAATTTTGACCCCTGTAGCTAAGGACCACCCTAGTCAACCCCGAAGCGATGTTTTAAGTTGAGATTTGTGTAAAAACGTGGGTTCGTAGGACATGTTCGGCTATGCCCTTCGTCATCCGAAGCTTCCTGCTCGGAATGGGATCGTGAACGCTGCTGGCCTGACCCCGTTGACGCTTGCTTGCCAGCTGGGTCGCGCTGAGGTCTTTCGGGAGATGTTGGAACTGTCTGCACGTGAATTCTGGCGCTACAGTAATATCACCTGCTCGGCGTACCCCCTCAATGCACTCGACACGCTGTTACCCGACGGCAGAACAAGTACGTCGTAATGCTAATCGAATTACACGGTTTTGAGAATCGTCGTCAGGGGTTCGTCGTTCAGGAGCACGCTGAAGTGGCCACTCACTTTGTGCCTTCGTATAATTGTCAAGACTCAAGGCCGAATCGTCTTTAAGTAGCTGCGAAGCGATCTCGCCGATGCAATATAATCCTCCATTTTTTTTTTACTTTTTTTTGCTTCAAATCTAGAACGACGTCGATTCCCCGCGTTCTTGGAAAGTGTTATCCTCTCGACTATTTTTTTTACAGCTTTTACAGCTCGAACAAAAATGCGAGTACCGTTTGTTCGTTAACTATTAAATGTTAAATAATGCTCTTTGAGATTTCTCGCGGTTTCTTTCAGGAATTGCGTTGTTTTATTGCGAAACTTTCGTCCTATTCAAACCTGAGTGTAACGTTCGCGCGTGGAAAACACTTCGGTACAAAATGGCCGCTACCAGAGTGCGCTCTCGGCGTTCTGTAATAAAGTCGCTGGATGTACAAAGCACCGTTAATTAGCCACTTTTGTCGTGAAATAGTCCCGCGTTATTCAGGCGTTAGAGTTTCGAGAGCAAACGCATTTCGTCGTTAACTTGCTGCATGGACAATGTTTTGCCAAATCACAGTATATCTGAAGAAAAGTAAATGTTTCTTTGTAGCCTCTACTTTTTCGTAGGTATTCATAAGCTCTACTTCCATGCTAAATTACATTGAGATATGTTCATTATTGTCGAAGTTATGGACGTTTGAATATTGGGCCATTTTTATGGAGGTTTTCTCATTTTGCGGTGTTAAGGAACAACTTTTCGAATATTTTTGGAACTTCTACGTATTCTTCACTAAAATACAAGTCGTTTGCCTTTTGAAACATTAAAATCCTCCAATCCGTTCAGAAATTATGACGTTTTAAAGATATGCGTGAAATTTTGGACATTTCTGGCTTTTCGGTAAGGAATTTTTTTCTCGAAAATGGTTAGGATTTCGAGGGTATGCCTATTCACCAAAAATGATTGTAATTGACCCCTGAAACTAAAACTAATTTTTTTAGAGTGATTTGAAATTTTTTAATTTCGCCGAAAAATTTCACCACCTACTCGAATTTTTTCCTCGAAAGTGAGTAGGATTTCGGGGGTATGTCTATTCACCAAAAATTACTATAATTGACCCCTGCAATCGAAAATATTTTTTTTAAAACGATTTGAAATTTTTCAATTTTGCCAAAAATTTCAGCAGCTCTCGAATTTTTTTCCTAGCAGTGCGTAGGATTACGGGGGTAAGTCTATTCACCAAAAATGATCGTAATTGACTCCTGCAACCGAAAATATTTTTTTGAAAACGATTTGAGATTTTTTAATTTTGCCAAAAATTTCAGCACCTTCTCGAATTTTTTCCTCGAAAGTGAGTAGGATTTCGGGGATATGTCTATTCACCCAAAATGATTGAAATTGACCTCCGCAAACGAAAATAATTTTTCCATTATGATTTCAAACTTTTTAATTTCGCCCAAAAAATTAAGCACTTCTACTCTGTCGATTTTTCTTAAAACTTCGTTTTTGATTTTTAATAAATTTAATTGGCGTTGTATGGAAAAGTTGTTTAGTACTTTTTTGTAAGTATCCATGAGCTCTACTTCCATACTATATTTCATTGAGATATGTTCACTATTGTAGAAGTTATGGACGTTTGAATATTGTGCCATTTTTAGGGGATTTTTCTCATTTTACGGGGTCAAGGATCAACTTTTCGAATATTTTTACAATTTCTACATATTCTTCGTCAAAATACGCGTAGTTTGCTTTTTTAAAAATTAAAATCGGCCGATCCGTTCAGAAGTTATGACGTTTTAAAAATTTGCTTGAAATTTCAGTGAAACATCTCAACGGTATGGTCAGACCTGAAATTTTCGGTAATGAATTTTTTCCTCGAAACTGCGTAGGAATTCGAGGATATGTCTATTCACCAAAAATGATTGTAATTGACCCCCGCAACCGAAAATAATTTTTTCAAAACGTTTGGAAATTTTTTTTTTCGTCGAAAAATTTCAGTATATACTTGAATTTTTTCCTCGAAAGTGCGTAGGAATTCGAGGGTGCGTGTAATACAGAAAAATGATTGTAATTGACCCCTGAAACTAAAAATAATTTTTTCAGAACGTTTGGAAATTTTTTTTTTTCACTCTTTGTCGATTTTTTTTTTAAATTCGTTTTTCATTTTTGAGATATTTGCCACTTTTGTCGTGAAATAGCCCCGCGTTATTCAGGCGTTATAGTTTCGAGAGCAAACGCATTTCGTCGTTAACTTGCTACATGGACAATGGTTTGCCAAATCACAGTATATCTGAAGAAAAGTAAATCTTTCTTTGCAGCTTCTAGATCTTTGATCTCAAACGTTATTGGTTGGTCTTGCTTTATTGGAAAGGTCGAAAATCCCGTTTCGAAATTTGAAAATGTTGATACTTTTATGCACATCAAATAGATTTTTAACGGTATCATAAACGATCTTTCTCAATTCTTAACTTTGCTCACTAATAATACTATGGATGAATTTTCACCCCCACATTATAATATTTTCAGTTACAATATTGGAAATAAAATGAGACATTCTCTTAAAAATACAAGTTTTTTATACAGAAAAATTAAATACAGTAAAATTTAATGAAACGACACATCAAAATTGAGTTTTTGAGAATGTCAAAATTAAATTTCATCGATGTTCATTCTTTTAATCTTTTTCTAAAATGGAAAATGTCGCTCCAAATGCTTCGAATGCAAGTTTCAGACTGGTCAAAACATAGGGAGAAATTTCTTTCTTTATTTCTTACTTTAATTATTCATATCTCAAGAAGTGTTGAGTATCTACACTTAATACCTCACATACACCAAAAGGGATTCTGTATTTCCTTTATTGGCACCCGTGGAACGTTCCTTTGATGAAGTTTGGGACAAGAAATCTCCATTTTTCAGACGACCAAGTTTCAGGCTGATGAAAGCACAAAGAGAAATTTCTGTAATACGATAAGAAACGGCACAATTTGTGGGATTATATAAAAGACACTGTTAAATGTCTTTGTTTCTTTGCAACGATACTAAATGTGTGCAGAACTTGGTTCCAAACGATTTAAAGCCTGACTTCGACTTGAGTGACGAGCCACGTTGTGGTCTTGGAAAGCGGATGACGAAGATTTGCAGGCACTGCTCGATGAAGATCCGTCGCCGACGCTGAGGCAGCTCGAAGGTTAGTTGGAAGTGCACTTTGTAACCGTGTCGAAACAATCGTATACGACGAGGAAAATACAAAAAGGGAAGTTCCACAGAATTATCGGAATATAATTTTTGTTCCTGGAATATTGTTACCAACGGCAGACGAGTCCTGCGCAGAAATACGAAACTCCAACGTGGCTCTGACCGAACGACTTTAAAACGTTCGCAAAAAATCATGCTCGCCATTTGGTGTTATTTGGTTGGGAAGGTCGTATTGTTTTACGATCCTCCGAGCCAAACCGTTGCAAACTGTTCTACTGCTACGGAACGTGTTACGTCTGTGATACATTGGAAGAAAGGTAACCGTTTATTGAACAAAGAAAATCGAATGACATTCCTCGATCGAAGAAACGACCATAAAGAGTTCTGCTAGCTGGAGTTCTGACTCACCGGCGGCTCAATTATCATATTTGTTCTTTCCTGGATGACAATTGACTGGGTTGATGGGCACGTGTTATGCAAGAATCGTTCGCGATCTCAATTAAAGCATAATAACAGTTTGTCTACCGAATGATGTACTCGATATAAGAAATTGCAATCTATTGTGGTACCTTTTGGCGATACGATGCACCAATTTTGGATGTAACATCGATTAAAAGATATATAATAACAGTAATAATAATTTTTATGTGTAGAAGATATGATAAATACAAGTAGAAAATGTTACTATGTCTTATAATAATTAATATTAATTTTGTTGAAATTTGTGGCCAAACTTCAATCTTTCAACTTTCATATTTATAACTTTTTCCCCCAATTAAGTGGTAAATTTTTAAAATTTCGAAATCCAAAATATTAGATCTTTCAAAGAAGTTTATGATCACTGGTAGATTGAAATTAAATTATATTAATTTTTTTGTTATATGGTATTAAAAGGTGGATTATGTTTGCAGATATATGAGTACCTATATTTCAGTTATTTAATGATTTTATAAGCATTTCTGAAGTCGTATACAAGCAGCATTAAGTGTACGAGTATTTGAACTTTGAGATTTCTAAAAAAAATGTTTAAAAGTGATAGAAATTGGGTTTGTTTCATAAGAAAGTGTAAATATTACTCAAAATAATGTATGAAGTTCAAATCAGGTTACAACACTACGCAGTCCACTCGATATTCAGCTTCTTTGATGTTTCAAAATGAGCCTTTTTTTAGGGGTTATCCAAGCATCGTTCTATTCATTTTTGTTAACAACAAAAGAACCGACAAGCAAACCTATCACTTATCCGGGCGAAAATGACCCACAGTTATCCGAGCATTGCTGTATCAATTTTCTTCAACAACAAAATTACAGACAAGCAAACTTATAAACATTGATACACGGGTGACTATCGTTCACTTATCCGGGCGAAAATGACTCGCAGTTATCCGAGCCTTATTGTCTCAATTTTTCGTAACAACAAAAGTATTGACAGACAACCTATAAACACTGATACACGGATGACTACTGTTCACTTATCCGAGTGAACATGACTCATAGTTATCCGAGCCTTATTGTCTCAATTTTTCGTAACAACAAAAGTATTGACAGACAACCTATAAACACTGATACACGTGTGATTACCGTTCACTTATCCGAGCGAAAATGACTCGCAGTTATCCGAGCCTTATTGTATCAATTTTTCGAAACAACAAAAGTACCGACAGGCAAACCTATGAACACTGATACACGGATGACGACTGTTCACTTATCCGGGCGAAAATGACTCGCAGTTATCCGAGCATCGCTGTATCAATTTTCT